GGATCTCTTCCGTAAAGGGATCGGAAAGGAGTGCTCGCGAGGGAAGAATGAAATGAGGTATTGTACCAATACTCAGCCCAGTGGATCCATTTCACCCACGTCTTTGGCTTGTCACCTGCAAAACAGCGAAGGTAAGTTTCCAGGCACCGGTTAACCACGTCCGTCTGGTCGTCGCTCTATGGGTGATAGGCGGTGCTCTTGTGCAGCGCAGTGCCTTGAGCAGCAAAAAGAGATGACCAGAACTGGCTGAGAAAGACCTTATCCCTATCTGAGACTATCTTTTTGGGAAACCCATGAAGCCTCACGATCTCTTTAAGGAAAATGTCCGCTACTGTTTTAGCCGTAAAAGGGTGCTTGAGAGGGATGAAGTGAGCGTACTTACTCAGTCTATTCACCACCACGAGAACTACATCAAAGCCATGAGAGATTGGAAGTCCCTCGATGAAATCAAGGCTTATCTCGGACCATACCTGGCGAGGAATAGGGAGAGGAGAGAGTAGCCCCGCGGGAGAGAGAGTTGAGTATTTGTTGTGTTGGTAGGTTTGGCAGTTGATGATGAAAGCTTTCTTCATCCCTTTCCAGAACACCTCGCGAGACAAGCGTTTGTATGTTTTGAGCACTCCTTCATGACCACCCAAAGCACTCAAATGAAACTGCTCAAGAACTTGTTTGGTGAAAACAGAGTCTTGGGGCAACACCAAGCGTCCTGCCTTAAACAACAACTCGTTCGCAAGTGTGTATCCCGATTCACATTGGCCTGTTGTAAAGCTCGCAGCAAGTTTCTGTAACTCAGGATCCGTCTGCACCGAGCGTGCTAATTCCCTTCTGTCCAACGAGAGAGGAGCCGTGATGCAGAGCTGGTTGAGTTGGTGATCGTGGGGTCTCCTCGACAAGGCGTTTGCCACCCTATTATTAGTGCCAGGGCGATACTTAATCTTGTAGTTTAACCCCAAGAGCTTGGAAGCCCACTTTTGCTGCTCGGAGGTAACAGATTTCTGATCAAGTAGGTATTGGAGGCTACGTTGATCAGTGCGGATGATGCAGTCATTACCAGTTAAGTAATGTCTCCACTTGTTGATGGCAAAGACTATTGCGAGCAGCTCCCTTTCATAAACTGATTTCTGTTTCCCCTTCGATGTAAACCCCTGACTGATGTAGGCAATGGGTCCGTTATTCTGAGACAACACAGCGCCGATACCGTTGCCAGAAGCATCTGTTTCAATCATAAAGGCCTGTGTGAAGTCAGGAAGAATCAGAACTGGCACCCGTGTCATTGCGTCTTTGAGTTCGTGAAACGCCAATGTTGCTTCGGGACTCCACTGAAATCTGTCTTTCTTTAGCAACTCCGTTAAAGGGCGTGCGATCCTCCCATAGTTTTGAACAAACCGCCGGTAGTACCCTGTGAATCCCAAAAACCCTCGTAATTCAGTGACTGTTTTTGGTTGCGGCCACCTCTGCATAGCAGCTATCTTTGCAGGATTCGCTGCGATTCCTTTCCCAGAAATGATGTGGCCAAGATAGGCTATCTCCGTTGTCCAAAGGTGCATTTTTTCTTATTGGCATAGAAGTGATTCTTCAAGAGCGTTTGAAGTACAGCGCGAAGGTGTAGTTTGTGCTTCTCTAGGGAGGAGCTGTACACTAGGATGTCATCAAAGAAGACTAGAACGAAGCTGCGGAGGAAGGGGCGAAAGATGTCGTTCATCACCGACTGAAAAGTTGCCGGCGCATTTGTCAGTCCAAAGGGCATGACCAAGAATTCATAATGTCCCTCGTGAGTACGAAAAGCGGTTTTCTCGATATCAGATTTCTTCATCCTTATCTGATGGTAGCCGGATTTCAAGTCGATTTTACAGAAAACAGTCGCTCCACGCAGTTCATCTAGGAGCTCTTCAATGAGGGGGATCAGATATCTGTCTGGGACCGTGCGTTTGTTGAGGGCTCTGTAGTCCACACAGAATCTCCATCCGCCATCCTTCTTCTTCACGAGAATGACAGGGCTTGAGTAGGGACTGAGACTTGGTTGTATCATCTGCGCGTGAAGCATCTCCCGAACCAACCTCTCAATCTCGTTTTTTTGAGCAAAGGAATGCTTATAGGGTCTGAGATTGACAGGAGCAGTGCCCGGGTGTAATGTGATAGCATGTGCCCTTGTTTTCTCCGGTGGTAGTGAATGTGGCATTTGAAACACCTCAGGAAAAGCGTCCAAAAGTTTAGAGATTACCGGCGGAACCGGAGCCATTGTCGTGCTAGTATCTCCTTCAAACAGCGTTGTCAGTTCGAGGAGACAAGCTACTTCACTGTCACCAAAAATCTTCGACATCGAGTTGAGAGAGACTTGTGTGGTGAGCAGAGCAGGGTCCCCGAGCAAGGTAACCCACTGAAGGTTAACTTGAAAGCTGAGCTTGTATAACTGCCAGTTTATGCGAGTTTCCCCAAGCGAGGCTAGCCAAGTGTAACCCAAGACGACGTCAGTAGTCCCTAAATCAAAGATGAAGAACTCCTCGACAACCTCAACACCCTGTATTGCTAGCGTGACATTGTTACACTTGCCCTGACCATTAATCACCTGACCATTCCCAACTCTGACCCCAAACTCTCTCATCATTGTGACTGGTATGTTGAGAGCGCGGACTACTTTGTCAGAGATGAAATTTGTAGTTGCTCCAGAATCGATCAGGATAACGACCTCTGTCCCCAATATTGTGCCTCGCATATGCATGGACTTCCCTGCGGTAAAGCCTGCTAGTGCTTGCAGGGAGAGGCGCATGATTTGGTGACTGTCATCCACTTCGACTGGAGTTGTGTGTTCCTTTACGTCCTCTGTCAACTCGTAAAATTCCTCATCATTGCCGTCGTTATCGATTTCCAGGTATTTCAATCGCTGTTGTGGCTTACAGCGATGACCAGGAAAGAATTGATCTCCACAGTGATGGCACGGATTAGACTTCTTAGTGTCGGCACCGCTGTTGTTCCTGCGAATCTCCTTCCCTGTATCAAACGGTCTCTTAGCAGGTGAGACATCAGAGCTTTTGGAGGGTCCCTGATATCCTCCGCGAGGAGACTGTTGAAACGATGAGTGTTGGTATTGACGCGTCATAGGTCTGTAGGAGAAGCCTTGTTGTTCGCTCTCTTGTCTCTCAATGAGTTTGGCGGCAGCGACAATGGCGTTGATGCCTGATGGTTGACACTGGAGTACTTGATTTCGCAGATGTTTCTTTAACCCTTTGAGAAACATCGACTCTGCTACGTCATTCGGAACATGTGGAACTTCCACCAGTAGTTCCTCAAACCTCTCGCGATATTCATCAACAGAGCCCTTTTGAGTGATTTCCATCAGCTGATCAATAATTGAACCCCCGCGACTGGGACCAAATCTTGCTCGGAACTGCTCTTTGAAATCGTTCCAGTTTGTAACGACCTCTCTGTCTTGAATGTACCTCAACCACGTGACTGCACTCCCCGTTAGACAGGCTGTACCTTGTTCCAACTTGTTTTTCTCGGGGGTCTTGTTCGCCGCGAAAGCCTTGTCAACCCGATAAAGCAATTCGTCAGCATTTTGTCCTTCGTACAAGGGTATTTCGGCTACTCTCTGCGGAGATTCAAGTGTGGTGTCGCCAGTCAGAGGTTTCTCCAACTGCGGTGGTGGTATCGCGAGCGGTGGTGGTAGGTTTACTCTGCCCTTTCTGTTTCTTTCTCCCGACGGTGAAAAGAGAGCGCCGTGAGTAGGGTTTGAGTGCGTAGACTGCGGTGTAGCCTGCGGAGTGGTAAATAAGGCCGGCGTATGCCCCATTTGTGTTCGGAGAAAGTTTCCAAACGCTTCCCGTAGCCAAGCTTGTTCCTTTTCCATCTTGTCGAACCTTTCGTGAATCTCGAGTTTGTGAGATGGTGTGTCGGTACCGGTCGGATCGGCGACTCCTGAACCTTCTGGGTGAGGCGTCGACATTCCACTGGCTCTGATACCAAATGTTAAGCCTGTGATCTAACTTCAAACCTGTGACTTGCGGTAACGAGAGAGAAGAGAAAAGGGGGCAAGAAGATAGATAGATTGATGTTTAATGTTGTGAATCCCCAAACCCTAAACAGTTGGGCCGGTTTAAATACCAAGGACTAAGATATCAAACGACATAGTTTTGCATAAATGAAAATACAAATACTCTTATTCAAATGCAGTTTTCACCCTTAGCCACTTTTGCGATTCCCGTCTTCTTCAAACTTCTTCACAACTCGCTCTGAACGCTGCCTCTGATTCATAAAAGCCAATGGGACAGCAAACTTATCATCAACACGCTGTGGGTTTTAAGGGTTCACAGAAATAATTAGGAAGGAAGTTGAAATTGAAGTAAAATTGAGAAGGGCAAAATGCAAGTTCATCCGATGACGGGGGTTCTCTGTTTTCGTTTTGAGCGTTTCCCAAAGTATTTCGGAGGAAGATAGAAGAGAGTTCAAAAGGATACGGAAGTTATAGAGAAATAGAAGAGGGAAGAGGATCGTAAAAGGCATCGGAAGAAATAAAACTTAATCCATAAATCTTCTTTTATAATAAATTTAGAGGAGAGAGCCCTTCAGTCTAATCTTTGAATTTCAATTAACAAAGTTTTTCATTGGAAAAAGAAAAATGATTAAGGTTTGAAGAAAATGCTTTGGAAAAAATTATTTTTATTTGACTAGAACTTTTTTGATGGAAATTTTTTTTTTCTCTTTTCAATTCTTTTGTGCTGATGTGTCATCTCCTTGTGAGACACCACTCAATTTTTATATAATAGATTGTGAGAATAAGAATAATCATTACTAAATGATCGGTGTGATCTATAAAATATGAAATTTTTTGATTAATATTATTTTCGAAATATCATTTTTCAAAAATACCATTTACTTAATTATTTTCAAAAGTACCATTATTTGCTAAGGTACAATAACCATATTAACCTTAATAATATTTACAAGGTTTCGTCGGGATATAGCCAAAATTTGCAATCTTCATCAAAGTTCTGAGATTGGCGATGGAGAGGGTTCGACTGTGCCAAAGAGAACATCACCTGGAGGTGAGAGAGACGGCTAGATCTGACGGCGAAGCTGGATGAAATAGAGAAGCAGATTTCAGAGGCACCCAAAACACCATAGTTATACTCGCCGGCGAAATGGGCTGGCTGTAAGGAGTCTCTCCGGAGAAATGGGCTGGCTGTAAGGAGTCTCGCCGGTGACGACGGAGTGAGCGAAATGGTTCTTCAAAAGACCTTGTATAATCTGGAGAAGGAGGAGATGACGCTGCTCATGAGGAGCTTCATCGATCGAAGGCTTCATGTTTTGCGGGCTATATCTAATTGGAATCTAATTATCTCAAAACATGTCGGCTACATTTGAGGCAAAGGTATAAATCGACTGATCTTAAGGTGTTTCGATTTTCTGGAAAAATATCGTTTGAATGTCTTAGATTTAGGGAAAATTGTGGTGTTTGTGATTTTAAAGGTTTGTTTCTCTTCCGATCTTGTCGGATGTTGTCGAAAGTGATCAATAGATATCTAATTTTGGAAGAAGAAGTTTCAATCGATTTTCATAGATTTCCATGTTTGTTGATGTTACTGAAGCTATGAAAGGAATTTTTGTTGTACGATGTTTGTAGCAACGAAAGAGATTTTGCGGTACAACGTTAAAGATGATATTTGGTATTATAACTTTGTAAAGCCTTATAAATTGTTCTTCTTTCATTAGCGATAATGATTGCGGATTGCACGGTGATGACAGCGGCTCATAGAGAACCAAGGATAATGAAGACGAAAGAAAAACGTTTTGGGGGATTCAAGGATGGTGTTTCCGGATTACAACAACCCACAAGCGTCTTGGGGCTGCAATAGCTGATCTGAAGTCCACTTTGGTAAATACACTTTTCATCGTTATTCCTTACTAAAGCCTTTATTGGTCTCTGCCTATGAGCCTAACAGAAACGCAGAGCGTGATCTGAAGTTTAGGAGCACTTAATCCTCAAACCAAACTAGAAGATTATGTTATCTATCTATAGTGATAGATTATCACCCCTGCATAAAAGCATCTTTATGTCATTTTTTGAAGACAAAACGATGAATAAGCAAACATAGAAGAACCGTGACATTCCTACTTTGTGTTTTGTTCAGAAGTTCCTGAAAATGGAAGAGACAGATGGTCCAGAAGTTGAAGATGCAAAGAAGACAGTAGCGGACTGGGAGAAGCAATTTTTGCAAAATCCTTACTGGAATTTCCGAATCTCGCCGAACCATCATGAATCTCTCCAGATTCTGCTTAGCTTAGCCGGGTATTTCTTTAATACCCTTCAATAAACCTCTTTTCTCCCCTAACAATCTAATTTATACTACCATTGAACAATATTAGATCTTAATCGAATTGAAGAACCGAGAAGATAGTATGTTGTTTAGAGGATTCAATTGTCGTATAACTACTAACTCATACTCAATATTGTTGTATGAATGAATTTAATTATTTATAGAAAATATGTATTACTGATTTATGAAGACTTACAAACCTCATTTTAATTTTTTATAAAAGAATTTACATTTCCATTCTATTCAAAACTTGTTGACTAAGAAATCTCATCCAAACAGTTAATATAAATGAATGATTGTGTGGTCAATCGACTTTGAGATACAAGGTCCCCGATAGATTCCACTTTGGGGATTTTATATATGAATTTATAAAACCTGACATACTCGTTATTATTGTATGTAGGAATTTATTTGTTTATAAAGAATATGTATTGCTCATTTATGAAAACTTAAAATAATATTTTTAAATCTTTATAAAGACTAAATGATACTCGAACTAAGGATCACCAAGACTGCAGTGGCGTATAAATCCACTAAAGCATACTCGTTATTGTTGTATGTAAAACTTTATTTGTTTATAAAGAGTATATATACTAATTTATAAAGTTTTAAAAAGATTTTTTATAAAGAATATATATACTAATTTATAAAGTTTTAAAAAGATGTTTATAAATCTTTATAATAATTGAACGAGAGATCCCAAATACTTACAGAATCGTATAACTACTAAACCATACTCAATATTATTGTATGAATAAATTTAATTATTTTTTTAAAATATTTATTACTGATTTATAAAGATTTAGAAACCTCTTTTAAATCTTTATAATTTTTTTTGGCTTAGTGGTTACATTATAAGTGTTTGCGCTCAATGGATGCTCAATTTTTTCATAAAGATTTAATAGATTTGTATACTAATTTAAAAAGTATTATAAATCTCTTTAAAAAGATTTAAAAGATGTTATAAATCTGATTATAAATCACTATAATTTTTTTCAATATGATTTTATAAAGCCTTTTTAAATGATAATAAACTAGGATTTAGCCCGCTTTACGTGCGGAGTAATATTTTTTACTTTATTAAATTTAAGTTCTATTTAAAATTTTAGTTTTTCTTATCTATATTATTAATATATTGGTTGAGTATGTTTGTTGTATGTTAATTGTTTGTTGGAATGAGAATGTTGTATTGTTTGTGAATGGTATATTGGTTTCGTTTGTGTATGATATTTGTTTTAAGTTAGTAGTTTTGTATTTATAATTGTTGTATTGTTTGTCGATTATATATTTTTGTTATAGTTGAGAGTTTGTTGGATAGATTTATAAAGATAATAAAAACAAATATTGATAATTTTATTATATAAAATAAATATAAAATTCAAATTATTATCATTTGTTGTGTTGGTATTAGTAGTTTCTTATATATTTTGATTGTAAAAAATCTAGTTTTTCTTATGTATATTATAATATTAGCTGAGTATGTTTGTTGGATCGAAATTATAATTTTAAATTTTTTTGTTAAATCCTATACAACCCGTCACACACAGTAATGAAATATTTAATGTTTGATTCGTAAAATTGTGGAGATGTACTGATAGTTTTATTTTGTTGTTGATAGTTCTATTTTCTATTTCTAAAATTCCTTTTTTTTTGAAAATTTATGCAACCCGTGATGTAGTGTATAAAAATATATTGTTGTATTGATAGTTTTTTTTTGGTATTAATGATGGTATTATATAAGTTATATAGTCGCTAAAAATTTTGACATTTGTCTTTTTTTTTTTGCCTAACGGGATGAAAAATGAGAAAAATATAATATTATATTATCAATCCACCATTTATAAAAAATGAGAAAGAAAATATATTTGTAAAGGCCTTTACAATATATGAATTTATTATTTATTTGTATGTCGTTTTTTTTTTTTGTATGATTAATTTATTGTTCAGATATGGTTTATACTTATGTTGGTATAAGTTGTTTTATATGTTGATTGTAAAATAATCTAACCTGCATTGTACTATGTTTTTAATGGTAGATCCAAATCAAAATTCTAATTTTTGTTCTTCCAAAAACTAACAATACTACATCCTGCATCATATTGAAAATCATTAATTATATAGATATATTAATGTTTAAATATTCTTATATGATTTTAGTATCCTGCTTATTTCATTATACAAATACTGTTTCTTAAATATTCATGTTTAATTATACAAGTACTGTTATTTCAATCATATGTTTATATTTTCCCAAAGTTATTAAATTATCCTATATTTTTTAAAATGCTGTTATATATTTCAATTAAAATTATTTATATATTTGATGATATAGTTTTTCTTAGAAAGTCTAACAAATGCTTTTTTATAAATGCAATAAATCTATGTTTTTTAAATGCTGTTATATATTTCAATTAATATTATTTATATAGTTGATGCTATGTTTTATTTAGTTTATATATTTCTTAGAAAGTCTAACAAATGCTTTTTCATAAATGCAAATCTATGTTTTTTTTTAAATTGGTTCAGTTAGTTACTTTCTTTTAATTTATAATCACATTAAACATACTTGCCAATATAGTCGTGATGAACTATGATATTTTAAATTTTTCAAAACGATTTTTTTAATAAAATATCCACTCAGCCTGTAAATATTCTTTTTATTTCGAAATAAATATCTGCTTGTTAATGAATATTTGTTTTTATCTTTACTTGGAAACGTCAATAAGTTTTAGATGAAATAAAGGAGATTAATTGTGTAATCAATTCTTCTAAATCTCCATCTAGATACCAATATTCTTAGAGCCAATGTCTGTTATATGTAATGTCTTAACGGTTGGTTTGCTTTATCAACGAAATGAAAATGAATGAATGAATAATTAAGCTGGTAGAAGAAATGAATAGAAAAGTAAGCCAATAAAAGTGTAGACACTAAAATAAGGCATAAAATTTTGAAAGTGCAGTTCTGACTTTGAGACTTTACAGAAACATTTTGAACCTTCAAAATGGACAAATACATGTAAAGTTAATCTTGTACAATAATATATTTATATACATTATGTCATCCATCACCGCCATCATCACTGACGCCATTGCCGCTGCTGAGACTCCAGCCACCATGACAATGCCATTTCCTTGCTTAGGCTCCATTAGAGCCAAACTCGCTGATTTTTGTTATGCGAAACATTTGACAAATCTTCAAAATACATAATCAGAGTTAGAACCATGGAAAACGAAATAAAAAAAATCTACAAAGCAGATGACGATGATTTCTATTGTGGACAAAACCATAGAACTGAATCACGCAGATCTGTTCATCTTGATAAAAAATAGAGTTCCAATTCTAAATCTATTAGGATCAAGCACCATCTGAAAATCAAGTATGGATTAGAAAAGGGGAAAGAGAGGAATCATACCTCAAGACCATCGACGATGAGAAAACCACTGACGACGCATTCCTTGAGACCAATACCGACTTCATATTCTTCATCAATGGTTGATCGCTGCAGAATCAAAGAGGAGACAGATGGGGACTTTTGTAGGCCATGGTCAACTGAGAACAAATTCGAAAATATACAAAACAGAGACTTAGATAGAGAATGTAAGAAATCATACCATGTTTAGATTGTCGATTGTCAAAGCTTTAACATTGTCTATTGAGGCATGGGTTAGTGATTAGGAAAGACTCCAGCGTTGCCAAAGAAATCTACACAAATCAAACATAATTTTGCTTGTTAGTGCATTTGTAAGTATATATAAAATAATAAATAATAATTTTTTAAATCACAATCAACAAAAAGCTGGATTTTTATCTAATGAAATGACATGTTCTTATATAATGAGGAGAGAGTGTCGATTTAGGGTTTCTGATCATTTGTTTAGCTTGTACCGAAATTTTGTATATTATTTAAACTGGTCCGAATTTCTTGGAATCAAATTTATTTTGTTTTTGAAAGTTTACTTCAACAAATCGAAATTTAAGGTATTTCTGAGAATATTTTTACATTATATATTCCATTTTTATTATTTTGATTGGTTGTTAAGATTTATTTAGGAAATATATATTAATGGCAAAAATAACAACAAAACGATGTGAACTTCATGCAATACCTATTTATTGTTATTTTTGCCATTAATAAATATTTGTTCCATATTTAAAAATCTTAACAGCATGGTTTTAGAAGTTAATATATTGTAGGATACTATTGTGTTATTTGTATATACGAAATTATTAAATTAATTGAATAGATTTGATTGATAAATTTGAACAACTTAATACATTTTTCGGGTAAGATTCTTGATTTGTTTAGCTGTACAATCACGATTTTCTGTTTAAACTCCAAAACTAAATATTGTGTTGGTTCTATTTTGGTTTGATTTAATAGGATAAGTTTTTCAAACCAAACCAAATAAGGTAACTAATTTAATATCGGTTTGATTTAAAGGATTTGAGGATCCGCGTGTTTTGCCACTGGATTTCGGGTCGGGTCATCGAGTCAAACCGAGTTAACTCAGTTGACTCGCCTATTTTACCTCTAGGGCTTCAACTGTTGACCAAAGAAATGAGGAGGAATAATAAATTCCTCTTCATTCCTTAAAAATTTTACCATTTGCTAATAATAATATTTTCCTATCATTCCTTCTTATTCCTTATCATATAAGGAATTATAGAACAAATGTATTCCTTATTAAAATTGGGGAGGAACAAATTATAATTATATACTTCCTTATATATTTTTCATTCCTATTCATTCTTTTCCTTTTGTTCCTTTCATTCTTTTCTTTTTCATTCCTATTCCTTTTTTATTGGTTACCAGTTAAAGTCTAGATATACTTGTTGCCAAACACAATTAACTCATTAACTTAGTGGCATAGATTGTGAATAATGGGTTTTTTAGAGTATCTCGAAAAACAACTTTTCAAATAATATTATAGAGATTGTTATAAGGAGTAACAAAGTTTTGTTCATCATTCTTATAATCAAATAATCCACTTGCTTAACTAGAACATGTGAGACTTATGAAACATAGATCAGTTTTCAACATAAACAATTGATTGTACTTAAATAGATGTTACTATCGTAATCAAATAATCCACTTGCTTAACTATGTTCCGTAGATTTCTTCATCATCAATCAATATAAAAAACCTTTGACTTTTACCCCTTTTCGCTTTCTGCAAAACATCTCTAGAGTATTATTACAATACTCTTAAATGTGAAGTAAGAAAACACTGCCACTTTAAGAAGGCGAATATATAATCATGCACTTAAATTCACCAACTCCAATCAAATCTAAGATAAGCTCAAAAAATTTTGGAGTCAAAACTTCACAAATCAACTTTTCAATGATTCAATGGAACACATAATCATATAAACAAGTTTCGATAATCTCTTTGGAAGATATGAACCGAGTTCGTCCATACTTTTCAGTAAAGTGATGGTAAAGTACATTAAACCATTTCATTACGGCAACAAATGTTGTGCTTGGACTAACCGATCTCTGGGATTTTGGAAACCATCTTTCTCCCGCAGCAGTGCTGTGATATATCCAGACATTACCCGACCTCAACAATGCATTCTCTACTTATCGTTGCGAAATAACAAAGAGTATATGCATCTCTTAGGCTAGAATGGTTCTGATCTTTATGCTCATAGTTGAAGAATACGCCATCGCAAGTGGGTTTGACACTTCAATCTTGTTGAATATGAACTGCTTATTGACACCAAGTAGGTTCCTTACCTTGTCTAGGAGTACAACAGTGAGAAATGCTTGCTTTTGAATGCTTGATGCTTGCCTTTGTTAGAAATCCCCATTTTCACTCTTAAAAACCACTATCCCACAATTGCTTAGAACCTTGACTCTTGCCTTTAATCAATTGTCTTTAAGATCTTCTTGCTTAGTTTTTGCTTAGTCATTGCTTTATGTTCATTACTTAGTTCTTATTACTTGCATTTAGTTTTTGCTTTCTTTCCATTGCATTGTTAGGTTGCTAGACTTATCTTTGCATAATCAAAACCCCATTATTGCTTAGCTTATGGCATTGTTTGCATCTCATCATCCACAAATGATTGATACCTGATCCCTATTCTACAACTGATTAGAGGTTAAGAAAATTTGGTTCAAGACCAAAAAGTCATGTTTCAATGAGTATCGTCGTCAAGGCCGTGGAAAGAAGGTCCGGAATCATCAGAGAGAAAGTTTGGTTCCCTTTCTTTCTCTTTTTCTCTTTGTAACTCCCAGTACAGATCAGCTAAATATTTTGGCGTACGACAAGTACGTACCCAATGACCTTTCATGCCGCATCTAAAACAAACAATTTCCTTTTTTCTTTTCATTTCCTGACCGTCATTATCATCATGAAAGTTTTTACTATCTTTTTCATGATTGAATCATGTGGATGATATCCTCTTCCTCGTCCAAGTCCATATCCAATACCACGATTTTGACCACGGTATTGATCGCGTCCACGTCCACGTCCTTGCCAATTATTATAGCTGTATGATGCAACATTCACTTCTGGGAATGGTGCAGATCCCTCTGGAGGGCTTTGATGGTTCATCATCATGAGCTTATTATTCTGCTCTGCAACAAGCAGAACATTCATTAACTCCGAATAACAGGTATACCCATTTGCCCGATATTGTTGTTGCAGGACTACATTCCTAGGGTGAAATGTGGAGAGAGTTTTCTCAATTATGTCATAACCACTCATTCTTTCTCCACATAACACCATTCTCGATGTTATACCAAACATTGCAGAATTTTAATAACTAACATTTTTGTAGTCCTGGAACCGGAGATGTAACCACTCATGTCTTGCTTTCGGTAAGATCACATATTTCTGGTTATTAACTAGAGATCTGCTAGATATTTTTTGATGATGTTATCTTTTAGGCCATCATTGATATGATAACGTTAAAATATCATGGCTCTTTCCTTTTTCTCATTCAATGTCGGTTTTGACTTATCGATGGTATCAAGAAGCCCGTTTCCTCTCACAAGAGATTAGGGATCTTAACCTAAGAGATTAGTTGTCTAAGTTGCTTTTTGGCTATATTGACTTTGTGATTGCAAGTTTGCTTGTCATATATACACCATTAACCATGAGTTTGAAATGTGATAAGACAAAAGGATTAGTACCATAAGAGTGGACTAGTCCATAATAGTAGTCTTTGCTTAGGGATTAATGTATTGATTCTTGCTTGCACACTTTGAACATGATTTAGAACCACCTAAATCATTATTGCCTTAGTCTTGAACCTTTATTTAATCTTTGAAGTTTAGTATTTGCTTTGTTTTTCCTTTGTTTTTATTTTTCATTATTGCACTTGCCTTGTTTATTTTTAAGCTCTTTAGTATTCATGGTCTGAACTCTTTAGTTTCCTTGTTTGTGTTACTTGGTTGCTTAACCTTTTTAAACTATTTTGGCTTAGCTTAACAAGCTTCTGCATCTTCATTACACTACCCCCACGAAGGATCGATAACCTCTAAGTACTTAAATGACATGATTTAAGACTTGAAGAATTGACTCACAAGACATAAAAAGTCTTGTATCAAGACGTTAATAATGAAATCAATCATCGGATCCAGCAGAACAAGAGAGTATTATACCCAAAGACACGACCATCACTCAACTCAACTCCACAGCCAGGTCATTGATAGTAGGACTTTTGCTACTAAGCAATTACCCAAGTCTACTCATATCATTGTAATATTTGAGGTTATCAATCTATTGGAATATCTGTGACACTAAGAATGTATGAGGAATCCTTAATCCAAGAAATATGATAGAAGGTTTGTGATTTTAACAACCTAAATAACCATAAAACAAGACTACCATCAAGCAATAATCAAACTCTTAACAATAAAATTCAAACTAAGAAAGAGCAAGTAAATAACTAAACAAGAAGATCAAAGATAGGAAATGGGTATAAAGATGGGATAACTGCCTTTGTGTGATCATAGAGGCAATCCATATATAACTATTAAAGAAGACTAATCCACTCTCATAGCACTAATCACTTTGCTAATCACCTTAATAAAGATCTAATCATCATTAGTGAAAAAGCAATCAACAAGCATGAAATCTCAGTTCTATAAAGCCAATAAACACCTTAGACATCTACTTCCATATGCTAAGCATATAAATCTCTTAGAATATTGGTTCAGGAATTTCATCAAACACTTATGGCGTAAGAAAAACACTAAGTTCTAAATCATCATGATTAAGGAAGATCTAGCATTAGGAACATCAAATAAGAAATGATCTATTATAAATAAGTCCTAAACATCAAAGATCTACCATAATCTCATCATAATCTAACCCATCTTCAAACCACAAAAGAACTACTCACTGATCATGTCAAAACTTATATATCTAAGGTTAGAAATATGAATAAGCATGACTAGGAAGAGGAAAGATGGAAGATAAATACTTAGAATTGCATAAACTAATAAAGATCTCTTACAAAATGTTTTTAGGAACAAAACAGGAAAAAGGAA